TTTTTCAACAGTAGTCTGACAGTGTTGCTGGATTGAAGCGGCGATGTTCGCGGCAGAGCTAGAAGTGCATAGAGAATTATTGATGTTCCTACCATATTGTTGTTCCTGTTGCAGCTCTCTGTTTTTCTTTCATACGGGCATGCCATGAAAGAAGCATCGTGTTGGATCCGTGAAGAAGGCCAGTCAGGGCATCGCTAGCTAGCTGGCTATACGGTAAGTTTGCTGTAGTTCCTGTTGAGGAGGAAAGCCTGTGACTGTATGGACTCAATGTCTAGCTCACTTGACCACTTGCGTGTTTCTGGAGGCGCGTTCGAAACGGGACGTACTCTGCGACTGACTTGAAGCCCACTTTGTCAAACAGGTTCCTGGCTAGCTTTGGCTCACTGCACTTTGTCTTCTCTTGTTTATGCTGCCAATCTTTCTGTTTTCAGCACGGTACTCGTCAGAGTAACTCACTATCCATTTCTCCTTCTAATTAGTCCGCGGTGATTATGACCAAGCAGGTCCAGCCACTCACCCCGCCAAGGTCCTGCAGAGCGTCGGGTTCAGTTCAGAGCAGAGCAGTTCATATCCCCAAGTACCTCCTTCTCTGAGAACAGTCCCTGTGCCAGTTTTCCTACTTAGTCATAGTCTCCCTCTGCTAAACGGCTTCTTCCATCTCTAGAAAGATCCTGCAGCAGGTAGAAGCGGCATCAATAGCTGTCGGTGTGTTCTGATAGCAACGGCAAAAACCTTCCAAGGTTTTTTGCAGTCCGGTCCGCTCAAAAACCTCATCGGTTAGCGCCTCGGAGTCGCGACGCGCGCTCGCTTCGCCTGCCTTCGAGATACCGACAGGCTACGCCAAACCCGCTTGGATCCGATTCGCCAAGAAGCTTTCTTGGCGCCCCGTCTGCGTTGCATGGAGCTGCTAAGCTCGGCGATACAAAGATGCGCTGACGGACGTGCACTGGGATTGCAGACACGGACAAAGATGGCAGACCACACGATAGAAGCACGAATGCTTTTTGCTTAGTCTTGAGGTATGGTTGGTCGTCTACTGGCGGTAGTGTGTGGTTTATGCGTACCTATGCATAACTAAAGCCTATGCCGATCTTAGCTTAGTCGTTCTATGTTGGTATATCAGGGATTGCTAGAGGAAAGTCTCTGGAATCATGAACACAAAAGCCATTCTATGGTGTTTTAATGAAAAAGAGGATATCGTATAGATACATTGGGTAGTAATTTTCTTGCTTCGTTTCGTTCTAAAAGCTCACGCGTAAGCCAAACACCGAAGACTCAAGATTGACTAAGTTGTGAGATGACACAAGAATATAGATGTTACGCAGATTGATTCCTTCGGCTAGAAGCGATGAGATGTATAAAGTAGTAGAATTTTAGCATTGTATAAGTTGACGGCAATGACTGGAAATCATGAATACAAGAGAATAATTTATAACAAGCTTTTTCCAGTTACTTGTCAAAGTTTAATGCATCGCTTAGTGTATACCATTAACTAGACGTAATAGTCCTGCAATAGAGACCATACTAAAAACTTTACATTCCTTAGGCAACTATAAGGTAATCATATGGATATTCCGGTAGCATTCATTAAGAAAGGGAAGTCATTGAGCTGCGTTTATGGGGTTTGGAAAACATATGGGGAAAAATATCTGGAATTGATTTTTACATGCATACATATATACTTGGGTGGGCATTTCACAATTGTAAGATAAATTCTTATATCTCCTGACCTGTAAAACAAATGTTGTTAAGAAAAATAAGGGCTGTTACGACAGTAATAATGGGGCAATGCTAGCAAATTTACAAGAGTTTATAAGTTGGAGAAAGTTTTTTTTCGCAACAACAAGCTTCGCCCAAACGATAAACGGGCAACTGGAGAGTAGGAACGAAATACGCATAAAATTGGAAAAACAGCCATAAATTGTTGTTTTGCTTCTGCGTGACATCAAACGTTGAATCAACAACAATACAATGAAAGGCCAGCTTGGGTTAGTGGCTTAGAGATCTGTTGAAAGGTGAAGTTGAGAGTAGATAGCTTGCCTGTGCTTTACTATACTTAATTGTTAACTACTTAATTAATGAAATATACACAAATAGTCGGTCTGTTGTTATATATATTATAGCTATGCAACTGAAGCAGTCTTGGAGTATGTTGGCTTCTTCGGGCGCCTATAATGCAATCATTCTGAAATTTATATGTAGAGGATACGATACATTTATATAGCTATTGATACCAAAATCGGATATCCGCAGGCTTCCTGTTTCATTCTATGAAGTAAATCCGATTACATGAGATGACGACATTGTGACGTGCTGCTGTTCTGACAAGAAAGAAAAACAACAAATAATCGTAAACGGCACAAGCTATTTACCATTTTTACTTAAGCCCGTTTACGTAGTACTGATCGTCTGCACCGAAAGCCACCCACCGTTTGCACGCATCTAGTTCCTCTTCAGTTCGAACATGTTCAATTCAGTTAAACTGTCCCGTTTCCAAATGCGTCTGTTCACACGTCAAAGTACTTCCATTTCGTTCAGTTTCACCTGTTGGAGTGTTCGTGTGTGTTTCAAATGGATACGCCTTGAATCCGAATGCTAGCGTGGCCATATCACTAGCACAACCCTACCTTCTACTGCTACCGGCCAACCTTTCTTCTTCAAACACAGCCTCAGTGCAGGCAGCTTTAAGGGCGAAACAGTTCGCCGATCGACGGAAAAGCGCAATAGTTGAAGAATGAGATGATAGAAGGGCAGGCACTTCGTCCCGTCAGCGCCCATTACACAACGAAAAAACGAAAACGACCAAATCAAAATAGTCTGCCACCAGTCTTTCCAAGAGGCACTGGAAAATGTGTTTTGCACGCGAAAAATATGTAGAAGCAGAGAAAGCTGTTATTTTCCAGAAGTTCTGTATCGCTGTCTAGGCTGCTGACGATGGCAACGACAGAGGCAATTTCAAGCCCTCGACTACCTTTACAGCGCCTTCAACAATACGAGATGCCACCAGGTAGAGAGCTGGCAGTGATGGTTGATTCCGCTTGCTATATTCGGTAGCATCTCTGCTACTGCGATTCGCACAGACCCCCCGAGAGTCGCACCTCTGCTCTTCGGTAGCCGTTGTGCGTTTAGTAACGCCGTAAGCGGCGGGCACGACGACGACCACCTTTTCGTATTTGGCTGACACCAAATTGTCAAATAAGCACCCTGTCGAGCTGGTAACGTTCCAGATCTCCTACTCGTTTGGTCTTTATTAAATTGCCTGACAGAGGCACGATTGATGAATTCATCAGCCCAGAACTATTGGCTCTGCTAATATTGCTACGACTGTTAAAGCTACTGCTGCCTCTTGCAGCCAGTACACCAACCGAGTGTCAAACTATCATTTGTTTCCCAGGCAGAACTAGGAAACAGACGATATACGAAGCTGAGAAGGCTTTTCACTTTTTTGCTCTTCGAACGACCCGATCTCGTCAACGTCGTTTTGACTTGCCTAAATACTCGGCTCTTCAGGTTCTTCATAAAGAAACGATGGCGAACTCGTTCCTCATTATTCAAGGAATTCAGGTTAAGCCATAACCCGCTTTTCGCAGGGGGATTTGTCTTCCTTTACGTCCTAGTACAACTAGCTTCTTGCAGCCGCCAAGTTGATGTGGATGACAGCACCAGGTACACTACTACCAGGACAGCCCGCTAAGACCGGAGAACGAACAACTAAGGAGTCGATCAAGCCGGCCTGGAATGCCCTCTCCTGCAAAGTTTCCCATTTTTGTTGCTCCCCGTTTTCCATCCTCTTAAACGCTATTCTTTTTTCCGAACGTCACGCTTTTTCTTTGATAGAAATGCGGGCAGGGGCCAAACTTGCCTTACCACCGATGGCGCGAGGCCTGGTTGAGTTGTCGGTTGAAGGCTGAATTCTCATCGCAGACGCCGGGACAACTGAGCTGTTCAGCGTCTTGCTCGGAATCAGCCACAGCAGTTTAGAAAAAAGTCGGCTTGGTTTTCCCGAATGACTTCATCAGGAAGACGACACCAACATAAGACTTTGAGTGGTAACTCTTTCAAGCCCGACCGAATCCGACGAGCAAGGGCTTGTTCTCTCTACTTCATTTCTTGGTTTCTTCAGAGGAGGCGGTCAAAAATCTCCAGTATAGGATTTGATCTTGGATCCTACTTGGCAAGCTTTTACTTCATTTCTTGCTAAGCGCCAACTTTATTCGATTAACTCGCCGATCTGCTTCGCCCGCTTACTTTTGGCCTGTTTTTCTGCTGCTGCTGCTGCTGCAGCCGCCGCTGACGCCGCCGCCGCTGAAGAAGAGTGATGGTATACTCAAACTCAGTTGAAATTACCCTCTCACCTTGACTTTGGACACGGCCGACCTAATATTTCAGCTGCCCATTGCAGCTGATAATGATATTATTACTGCTGTTTTATTGGGTACTTTTTTGCTTCTGTTACCATTTCGGCATTGTCGCTTCAATTTCTCCCAGGTTCTTCTCGAAAAACAATTTTTTCTTCCCATACAACTGCCAATGTTAGTTGACCTTTGGTAAATGTACAGAGACCACGTGACGCCGTCGTCCGTTGTTAATCTGAAAGCAGAAACGGTCCTGCCGCTTCATCCGTGAGCCGAATTATCACGACAATGCACCTCTATCAGTGAAACGCAGGAAAGGAAAAACAAATAGATGAAAAGACAAACTAGCCGCTAAGTAAACCAACGATCTACTACTTATTCTCAATTTTTTTTCAACGATAACACTGTAAGAATAACATTAGCGATAAGTTGTGCTAGTTAAAATGACAGCTATCGTTGCCAGCGTTCCTATCTTACAATAGAAGGGCAACAGGAAATTGCACTGAACACACGAAAATAACAATAACATATAAACAAAGAATAAAGAGAAACATCTATCTACTTACTAGGGACCCACAAGATAATTCTATTGGCTATGGTATAGAATAGAGTAAGAAGACTTGGTGGAAAATATGAGTAGTTTTATTGTCGTCATATCCATGTATATTATTAATATTAGCTGACGGGAAAGGACGCGAGTTAATGTTTTACTCTTTGCTATTTTTTTTCTGTTATTATTTGTTTGTCTCTGCTGCGGTTGCATTTCTTCTGTCTCAGTCTCCGACATGATCATTACCCTTACCATGAACACTATAATCGTTCTACTAATTGGTATAATTTTTTGTTATGATTACGAAAGCGGGAAACTTATGACAGTCTAGCTGTTGCAACTGGAAACAACCAGGGATCTCGTCCCATTAACAGAGGACCCAAGTCTCATTCTTGTTTCTGTATAGGGCAGTCTAGGATATTTACGAGGCCGTCCAAAGATTCTCTACTTTGATTCTGCTTTCTTCCACTTATTGTTACGTTATTTTGGTGTTCGCTCTTGTCCATCATTGATTTCACCACTGTTTTCACTTTCTTTCGCGTATCTAAAGGTCATTCAGAGGTCACGCCGCTTCTCTCTACCATTCTAGATTCTGGTCATTTGTGACTGGCATGGATGACTCTGAAATTCGAAGTTTTTTTCATGATGATACTAATACGTTTTTGCTCATTCTCTTTTTCCAGAATAGAATTTTCCCTATATACTTCTTCTCCGAATGATATCGGAGTGTCCGGCTCCTGCTCGTGTCATTAGCTGTGCCTTGTGGTTTCATCAAAACTTGGAACTATATAATATTATTTTGTTGTCTGTCCCACTGTCTCCTTCGTAGATGGAGATCCTCCTTAAAATGGTAGTAGCAATAATTATAGTTTGGACATAATCTTATTTGTGACATTATGGTTTTTTTTTTTGTTATATTGTGCCACTTACGTAGCGGCTGTTCGTGTGCTGGAAGAAGTGTCATTATTACATATGTACGTACTAGTATTCTTGTATTTTTTTATATTTCAAGTATTAGCAATACCAATACCGTAATCATCTTATTCATAATCATCGTTGTCCATCATCATTATTAAGTACCGTCGTTCATAATAATCATTTGGTTTTCATCTACATACACGCTCATTGCTATATGAAACATTGCACCGGTCTTTAGCGGACTGGCCTATCTTTTTCTCTGTACAAACATATTACAAACCTGACAATGTCTCAATGTACATAGAGTTGGTCGAAGGCGAACCCCTTCGAGGTGTTTGTTTCACCTCGTGCCTAACCCCGTCCCGCGAACCCTGGAGCACGTTCGCTGTCAAGCAAGCTTAGTTAGTCGTAGCTATGATACATATATCTATCCAACAGCTGAGTATTTTGGCATTCTTACCTTTTACGGTCATCGTAAACATTTATGCTGGCAGCAGCAGCAGCAGCAGCAACAATGCAGAGGTACTGTTGCATATATTCTCTCATCTATCTATTACTGTATTGCTTTATAGCTGCGACGCTCAATTTACGAAACCTGTGACCCCTCATCCTCTCTGCTTTCTAGCCTCTACATCTACCCCCAAACGTTGTACCAGCTTCCCCTAATCTCTCCCTTACTGAGCCACTCGCCACCGCAGTCGCTGGTCTTCAGTTCCTCCTTGGTTCAAAAGTTTCAAATTCGCCGGCGTTGGCGAAGGCGGTGACGAGGCTTCTGCAATTCATTAGTTCTGCATTCACTATTGCTTTATTTTGCTTGCTACGACGTACGTTGTATCTTGAATGTTGTTGGCTCGCGGGGCGGTGTTGGAGTTCGCCTCCGCCGATTTGCATACGATATTACAGGCTCGCAGGCTCAATTTGCTTTTTGCCCCACAGCCAGAGCACTCACCCACAAAACTGTCCCACAATACCCCTCATCACTACTGCCCGCAAACTCCCAGATGTTTGCTACGGGATTACCCCATGCACAGCCTATCGACCGTTTGGCTGCCGCGCTTCAAACTCAATTCGGACAGAATCCCGAATTGCCAGAGCCTCGGGGCCTTTTTTCCTTCCTTCTCGTTGGGATCTGCCCCATCGGGTCTTTGCTATTCCTTTCTATGCTGACGGAGGAAGCGAAGGCGGCCACAACGCCACCTTGCTCCTGTCGCTCCATCGCTTGAACTGCATAACGGCAGAAGCAACAAAATCCTAACCCGCCCTATGATTTCCTTTTTGGGCGGCTACCGTCATCTGCTTCTCGGCCTCTACCTCCGCCACGTTCTTTCCCTACAGTTTGTCTTTGTGAAGCCCCAGTGGCGCGCGACGAGATCGTACACCCCCTTTCATATATATTTAATAATGTTACTGTCGCTATTAGTGTTAGGTAGCTAGCAACCGCTATGAGGGAGAGGCCAATATTGCTATCCCAGAATGCTATTATAGTACTAATAAGAGCCAATCACCTCCAGTTCTTGGTTTTGCCTTCCCTTCACAGCTTGTTCCAGTTTCAATATTTTACATAGCATCGCTCAGTCTTTTTCACTCATCCATCTATATACGCACCTATATATAGCAATAATACTCTCGATAGTATCAAATATTTCTTTTCCTTTCGATTTTCATTCTTATACAAAACTTCTTCGCTGAAGGGTCGATGACACCTTGTATGTAACGCCACCGTTTTTACCATTATTTTAGCTTGTTTTGCGTGACTACACCTCATGAACGATTGTGTTATGGTTATGTTTGCGCGCGATGTTATCATCATATAGTGGTATCGTGGAAACCAATGCGCTTGCGTTTTTCTTGCCGCCGCCGCCACCGCTGATAACGTTAACGCGATCGCAAAGAGCCAATATTATCTTTCGTCGTGCTCTCTGCCAAAGCCGAATTCCATTACAGCTCATACCACCATGCATGTATATCGTACTACAGCCAAACTAGTATGTTTTGAATGTATGGCTGCTTCTTTTTCCCGTCCACTCTTCATTTTGGTTTTTTTTTTTATTATATAATATATATACAGCTAACCGTATAGTAGTTGTACCGACTGTTTTAATGGTTCCAACGATTGTTGATGATGTTTGATGGGCATTGCGGTTGTTCGCGTACCGTCTGGAGCTTAAGGCTGCCTGCTAGTTACTTAGCTGAATGAGTAAATTATGAAACAGCAGCATAGCAGAAGTACATATAGATGTGGCAACAGCTATTCTGGGAGCCACGTATGATCACAGACACTCTCTCATTCGTTTTTTCTTCTTCGACTTTTCTGCTTTACCCAGGCTCGTTATTCATTCTTGATGGCGCTGGTGGTGATGTGACCTGAATGCTGGGTCATCGAATCTGACTTCAATCTTAATAGCGCGAATTTCCTACTCTCGTAGAGTTTATATTATACGGTTGCGAGTTTCGCTCGTCCAGCATTATCGAATTGAGCCACATCGAGGCTTTTATTGCTCAGATCGTGGCGCGCCTTGTTCGCGAATGCACGATTCTTTTCTTTCTGTGTGTAAGTCCGGTTTCCCGTGAATGTCCTCCTTCTGCTAGCTTCATTTATCGGATCTGAGATATACGGAAGTACGCGCGTATCGATGCGTGCCAGCCAGCCAGCCAGCCACCCAGCCGCTGTCATCAAGTCAGCGATGACTGCATTGGTGTGCGCGTTACTAAGTTAGTCGACTAGGCAGCACGAGATTGGTCATTGTGACCAACTCGCTTGCTAGTTTGACCTGGTGAGTTGTCTGATCCTGATGTTTCTAACCAGCTTATTTCTTGGTGGTGATGGCTTGAGCTTGTTCGACGAACAGGATTAGCCTGGCTTTTACAAAACGAGAAACCTTTCCAGCAGCGGTCTAACAGGTCTTAGGGGCAAGCCTACGGTGCCTCCCTTAACCTTGCTGCAGGTTTAGGAACCACATAACTATTAACCCTCTCGTCGTCTTCTCGCCCCATTCTCAGAGGCTGCAGCGCGTTGGTGCAATAAGATTTACGTGGATATAGTGCATGATGGTTGTCCTTATAACCAAACGTTCTGACGGTCCGTTCTTTTGACAGCAACTTTCCGGAGCGGCATTTATAAAGCCCTGCGGGCTACAGTGGGCTCGGACTGGATACGGTTGCTTCGAGACCGTATGGCCACGCTTATGATCACAGAGTTCCTCACATTGCACACTTTTCTGGGATTTACTTGTATGTATTATACTATAATCGCATTACTGTAGACTTCAATGATTTTAAGTTTGGTCCTTAATTAAAACCGAAAGTTTGAATCTTTTGTGGATTCCCCCGTACGTATTATATTGTATTCAGTTAGTTAGTTCACCAGTGTTTCGCTTCCGTCCGTTCGACCCCAAAGTTCACCAAAATCTGAGAGCCACGTTTCCCTGCAACGTATTCAACGTGTCCGCTAATGTTACATTTCACGTAGCATAGCTTACACACACAAACTTCATCTATCGCTGTCGGAAGCTTAGTCTACCGGCTTTGTTTGTATGTGCGCATTTTGCTATTGGATTTTTAATAATGGTCGGAACCGCTGGGTATATCTGACTCAAATCTATTGCACCTGCTTTGCCGTTGTTTTTGCCCTAGTCACGACGCCAGTAACTGGCACGCGGCGAGCGAGCTATCTTGCACAGGTCGTACGTACTACACGCATGTTAAAAGTACAACAAAATTGCATGCTTACACCCACCAACAGTTGGGTGTGTGTGTCCATGTCCGTATGGACGCAACAGGGCCCTGCTGGTGGTACTTCTTCTCTTGCCGTATCCTATCTAACAACATCTCGCTATAGGATTGTAGATCGGGAGCATCCCGTTCGGATGGTAGTATCGATAGTAGACGGCCATAATGAGAATGCCGAACGCGAACAGGCATGGCGTTCCGACCAATACTGGCAGACGAAACCAGACGTGGCTCCCTGCACGGAAATACCATAGCACGATTGTAGCTACGTTTTCTATGCAAGTGATCACGTAATAGCCCGTGTACTTATACCTGTGAATTAACGAGAACGCAATAGTGACAGCATAGAATAGATATTAGAAGAGACAAAGGTAAAACACGAAATCCATTATTTAATATGGACTTTTATAGATATTAATAAATACTGATTATAATTTATCATTTGGCTTGATGACTAATAATCATACAATTATCTATAATTAATCTACAAGTAGCGACCCACACGCGTATTGTGAAGTATAGTTAATTGGCACAAAGCTGGTACACCACGACAAAATGCTAACTAGGTCTACATCTCCAGTCCATTTTACTCCTACAATTTTGCCATTTAACCGTTGTGTAAAAAGTAGCCATGTATAATAGAAACGCTTGTCACTGATATGGTAAATTTTCCTATTCGAGTATTGAATTCTAAGTGCCTTTCGTAATCAATGCTCCAGTAGATATGTCGATAACCCGCAAATACTATTATGATTAGAAAAATGAGAAGCAATGTGCGTACGACTATCAATAATGAAAGGCAGGTGTGTACTTTAAATGTACCTGGCGACTTTTGGGGGGTCTACACGTGTGCAAAAGTCTATACACCTACTTGTGTTTAATGATATTCCTAACGCGTCTAAAAACGTCGTCTACATTAACGCCGATGGCTCACGGTTAACTTAAATTAGTATTTCACGTCATATTAAAAGGCGTTTGAGCAGACGATTTTTAACGACCTTGATAACGACCGAAATAAAAATGAGCGGAGCGAGAAGTTTCCTCACTTAAACGTACGTGCCGAAATGGCACATCTGCGTGATTCGATAGTACAACAATACGAAGCGGACAATGAATGTAATAACGGACGAAAATATCCAAATTGGGGAGAACGGTCTGACGCGGGGTGGTAACTTGAGCATCCCACTAAACGTTGGATTTCGGTGATAACAAGCGGACAGCCACAATGGCCGCCGTGGAAAAAAGCGGTAGCCGATCCAGTAGTAGAAGGAGGCCACAGGTCGTTTTAATGAACGGAAGGCTGGCAAACAAGCTGTACTATCAAAAGGTGCTTCATCAATAGACGCTCGACGTCAAAAGACGCGCTCACCTTCCCCTTTTAGGTGAGTTCGCTGTTCTGTACTGGTGAGCCTGTTCGTGGGATCGCTCAGGAAAGGCATCAAGCGGTCTCATGCAGAGAGGTGATCGCTCGACATCAGCCGCTCACTCTCTTTCTTCTGTCCGTCCAAGCAGTCTTCCTCAAAATTTAGGTGGCCTCGATAGGCTGCCAGCTATTGTGGCCGACATGCCAGGGGCAAGTCGAGGTTCATCCAGAGTTTAGCCTTAGAAGCCATGTTTTCATAGCCGACAGCTAGACAGGTAAAGGCCGGCTGGCAGATGGAGGCCGAGGGGAATAAGAGGACTGGGGTGCAGGAGTCAGGCAGGGCCGTAGATGTGTTGCATTTCTAACAGCGTGATAGTCTACCACAAAAAGCTCACACCAAGTGAGACACACGAGCGAGCTAGGAACTATGTTAGGGGTTAGGGTGGCTCAGAGGGAGTGCGTCTTGGCGAAGGGCGGGGATAGTGCGGCCCGAAGGTGAGCGAGTGAACGCCTGTTGGAAAAAAGAAGTAAAGGAAGAGGCCGTCATAGACGCGGACTTGCACGCATCAAAGGTTACAGAATCACCACTAGTAGCAATGGTAAGGACAGCCGAGGCGGCTGAAACCCGTCTAGAAGTCTGCAACTACAGCACGGTCAACGCAGAGCAGCAGCCGGGTATCGCCGACGTTGTTGATAGCGATATATTATATATTAGCATGGGATGACTTTTAGTAAACCTTTCTACCAATTCATAATGAATAACAGGAATATCCAGCGGTTTGCGGCGAGTCGGCTTAGGTTGTCACTTGTAGACCGACCACAGAATGGCTATAATGGTATTTTTCAAGTGAGGAGGACGCTGAAAATGCAGCGTTCTGTTTGTACATGTGACCATTTATATATCGAGGATATGCCATGTTTCGTAGGCAAAAATATATGAGCTTGTAGTTAATTTAGGGTATACCAAACGTATAGGTTCCCTTCGTCTTCGATAAAGAATTCTTTATATCTGCTTATTCGAAATATCGTTTTTGTGATTTTAAATGATATGTGCCTTCCTCATCATTATGGATGCTATTTCTATAGACCTTTGCTTCACAGCTCACCGCCTTATCTCCTCAGATTCAGCTTTCTTTCTGCCCATCTGATAAGTGGGAACGCACTATCGACTGTGCCTTCACACATAAACCCTCACTAGCGTTTACATAGTCCATAAGACGTGAGAAGTACCACAGCTTCTCCTTGTGTCGCTAAACCTAACTAGATAAAGAGTAGTTTTAGAGAGATTCGTTCAGAGACCCCATAGCTAATAGCGGTTGTGGCCATAAGAATAGTCTGAATGAGTCGAAAGTGTCCAGAGTTCTTAGGCATAGCAGTGGGACAGAGTTGCTAAACCAGTTAAAGCTGTTTGCTGCAGAGACTATAAAACAGCTGGAATCCACGCACACTTAGGAAGATTGCCTGCAGCCGATCGCTGTCTTCCTGGGGATGGCGGTGCTCGCCGTAGCCGTAAGAGTACAGTCGGCCCTCTAAGCATGCACGTCCGTTTGCACCGTAAGGGCCAAAAGCTCAGCAGGAAAGCGAGCGTCGATGGTGGGATGACAAAAGCAAACAAAGAACGGCCGCCACGACTCCATACGAACCCAGGCCAGATTTAATGGCGCACACCTGGTCGGCCAATCTACCCACTACGCTCTAATGGTGTTCCATCAGTTGCCGTAACTCACCGCGCAGGACGGCGGGGTTCAAGTTGATCTGTCCAAGTTAGCCCGGAGACAGCCGGTCATATGAACAATAGCCAGTGAAGGCAGGTGTTGTTTTACTATGTAACTGCAGAGGAAGCGATAGCCGCGGGTCTACACAGGTATTTGCCCGTCCGTCGAACACTGCTACATGAACGCGGCGTGGTTAATCCCAATAGGAGGAAAAACAAGCGGCGTTTCTAACTCCGCCGAAAAAAAACGTCTCGCAATGCGACTGGGTCCAAAAAATCAAATGTCCGTATGAAATGCTATTATGCTATTAGGTGATAACGGCAGTAGTAGAGAAGAGGCGGGTAGAGAACTAGGGTTTCAAACAGCATCTTTTTAATCCAATAATCTATTTTAATGTGCTTTATCAGTGTAAGTAAGCTTAGCATGAACTGCGCGAGTAGAAACTGTACGACAGTGTATCGTCACTGTTTTTGCACGGTTGTGAATCAAAGCCTATAAAGAAGAAGTCCGCCGGTCGAGTGCGAGGTCGTTAAATCTATTGACCCACTTAAACCTTTAGCATATAAATGCACCCGAGACCCCTTAATCAACGCGGGCAGGACAGGGTAGCTGCTATAGAGTAACGGACTGTATAAGGGGGAACTAATTGCTCGAGGCTCGTTTCGTCTGCGAGTACCTAATGTCCCATTTCAACTCAAACGTCTGAATATGTTTGACCGATACAGATAGTATAGCTTTAACTTGATTGTCTGCTAGATCTTGTAGCAAGGGACATTTCGGCCTTAGAAGTTATGGACTTGGCAGCGGCTATTGTTGAATTTTACAAAATAATTCATTGTTTACATGTGCATGCTTGCACAATGGTTGCCGACGAAGCTACTGTAATAAATTCAGGCTTCCACACAAAAGCGAGGCAGGATAAGCGTTGCTGGGGATGCAGCCAAGGCGAGTTGATCCTGAAAAATAGTTTATTTCAAGGAAGCTACCCTATTGCTAATATGTAGTCATTCCTGGATTAATTGGTAAATTCAGTATACAAATTTACTCGAGGGAGAGCCCCTAAATGCGATTATGTTCCAACGCACAGGCATCAAAAGTTGATGGTGCCTAATTTTTAGATGAATTAGTTTTTAAATATACGACGCATGTGATGAACTATCCTATATTGGATTAGTTTGAGCTACTACTGTGAATCCGTACAAAAATGATGTTTGTAAAGCGTGTCGCAGAGCAACACGAACACCTGCTCGTATACGAATATGTCGTTGTTGAGAAACCATCTATTTAAGTGGAATACTAATTAGAAAAATTTGTTGCTCTAGTTAAAAGTATGCACTGCATTGCACAGAAAATTAATTGCGACGCTCATAACGCCTAGGAGACCTCTAACCAAAATAGGGTCGGGAATATTCATTCCTCTGTAGTCTATATTTAACCAATTTCCCTTTAAACATCGTCGTTTGCCTATGTGTACGTCCAAGTGCAGAGTATAATATTATAATAATATTACCTAATAGGTAGTTTGGAGAAATCTACTATTGCATCTAATACAAGATATGAAACCACGATCATTATTCCTATATTTCGAGATGACGTTACGTTGGAACGGTGCGATGTTTTGCGGGATCTTTTTTTCTATTCGTATATCTGTTTCGAGATACACGAATAGAAATCGATTTTCAGCAAGAAGGCTGTAACAAGCCATCAAAAATTCGAAGATATTAATGATTTACAGGTATGAGCTCTGTCAGCGAACTACAGCGACATATCGCCATATAGGACTCCATAACTAGAAATGGTTGGCATAAAAAACACGGCGTGATTTCCAATGTGAATTTTGTTTTTGTCGAAGACTTGCGAAAATCAATAATGACCAATAGTGTTGAGAGCTGCGGTAGAAGCCGAGCTACTTCAAAAGGCACGAGCGTTAGGAACGTAACATATGTAAAAATGCCACACTCGTTCATCTCAGCCAAACAAATAAGGCAAAAGAAATCATTGAATGGCTGCCGCAGAGACTCTTGCCTCCCTTTGTGCTCAGATTAGATAGTAGCTTACTCAAGTACCGAATTGTACCTCGATATAAAAATGTACTTTTTATGGTAGTCGCGGATGGCGAAATCAATAAACGGGCGTGGCTGAATCGGCGAGACATCCCGTTAAGCAAATTTACCCTCGCAACAGATTATTAGATATGGGATCTATTTGCTGGTCCAGTGGAGGTGTCATTGATTAAAAATCTATTTAGAGATCACGACAGAGGTGTCCTATTAACATTATTTACGAGGGTAAAAAAAACTCTGCGCTATGCAGCCAAGACTAGTAAGCGGGCGGAATAATTGAGTTACCATTTAGTAGACAGCCATAGGTAGTACTGCTGCATATATTTACTTAGCAATAAGACAACTAACCCTATAAAAAGTTCGAAGGAGTTCATTATGTCACTCTAAAGGACGTAGTAGACAATATATCTTCAGTCGTTACCCATAAAAAACGCCAGCCCTGTGATACGCCCAGCATTCGCCAGCTTATAACAAATCTAATTCAAACTCTTAGCGCTTTGAATGAACCAGGCTATCCTCTATTGGTTCGATGCCCGAAGGGTTCAGGCCAACTGATTAATCGCCTGTTCAGCTAAGGATTATAATAAAACGGCAAGAACTAGCTCTAGCAAGGTTGGCGTTCGCCTGTACACTTTACAGAGGCAACCTGAATTGTGGAGGAGTTTACAAATTTCATCGTGAGCATATCGACGTTTCACTTTAGTCTTTAGTTTGATACGAGGCATCTTGGTGATTGTATGTCGATGTACTTGTCGTTATTAATATCGACGCCGACAGCCTTACGACGACGACCTTAGCGATGTATCTCAATTAGGAGTGTGCTTCATGATTTCATGGTGACTTTAAACAGAAACAGGCCTCAGCCAACGACGGGGGGTCGCAATGATCTCTGCATAAATAAGAGAAAAAAACGAATATGTGTAGATCGCACTGGCCTGTCGTCGGTTCAGATCAGCACCAAAATGCGTGTTCGCTCATTCGACGAGCGTGAGGTATCTTTCTATACCATACAGATCTATATTTAGAACGAGGCTATTCAAATGATTGTCATGGCGACGATGCATTTTGGGCTTTTACAGCAGATTCTAAATTATTTGGGTTGCTGTATTTTGTCTTGCTAACAAGAACATGTATATTTAGTTAAGTACTACAAATATTGTAATACGGTATAAATTCACGATAGAAGAAGTGATAGTGCCCTAGCCATTCGGTTTATTACCACATCCTTTAAGTAAAAATCACGATCAAGGCTTCGACCGTCAGTTTCGAGATCGTTCATGCTAAATATCAGACGCTAATAAAACTCGTTGTACGAAGCAGCCGAAGAGCATTCAATAATTTACCCCCCCACCCCCACCCACCCGATAATAACCCCTTTATGCCTAATCCTCTAATAATTTTAACTGCAATTTAAATCTCATTGCAGATATCGGCAGGTTTGATTGACGTTAGTACTGCTTTAACGTCATTGAAAATCTGATTTTTTTTTTTTTTTGGTCATTTTGTCTGGTACGCTACTGCTACTCATCATACCTCTACACAGAATGCAGTACAATACTGTAATAGCAATTTCCGCTTGCACGGCTTTTTGTATCAGCAATGCGATGCTATCCTGATCTGAAATGACTTTACTAAGCTGATTGTTATTTGGCTGACGGCAAATTATAGATGGCCTGCTTGCCTTTCGTCGTAATAAGCTCTCAATCATAATGCATTCATGCGCCATATAGGAATAACAGCTGAACGCGATATGACACAGACACCTTAAACTGGATCTGAAGTCTTGCCGGAAGCGGGAAAAAAATGATGCGTCATTCTCCAGCGTTATCCGGCTTTGCCAAAGCCGATCAGTGCAGGCGTCACAGTAGCTGCGATGAGCGTTATTATATTATTAGTTAGAAAGAAGCTGCAGCGCGGCGAGGCCTACCTGCCTATCTTCACATAGACGTCTAATGCGCTCCCAGATTATTGACGAACTTCACGATGTTTGGGCTCACTTGGTTTTGGGAGTGCATTAATAGGATACGTAAGAAAACAAGATGATGGCAGCATTTAAATAAAGTACTAGATAAAAACGAAATTATCCGCCATCTTTAATTTTGGCGATGTGTCCCTTGCCGCACCATTAAGATTCATGAACTTGATGTTAATAGCAAGTTATTTAGGCGATATTAACAAATGAATAATTACTAATTTTACGGATTTCAGTGATTATAACATTAAAAATACCTGATGATGACTAGAGGGCATTGGGTTTTGTACAAATTTCTACGCTAAACTTGCTTGTGATTCGGATCTAAGTACTTCCTTTAGATGGAAAAAGAATCGCTTAACACATATAGGGTCGTTCTATTGTCTCTATATGGATTAAATTAACGACTGTTATTCGCACTTTTTAATTAACACAAATTAGCCAATGATTGAAGGGTTACGCTACCGGTAATTAAATTATTAGACGAAAGGATGTTCTTGTATGGCCACAGCAGGGCACAACGGCCCTTTTGGGTCGGCTGACGTATGTTTAGATTTCTAAAACCAAAAGAACGTTATAGGCTTTAACTACTAGCTTTTTAACGGATAAAGCCGTTGGTAATAGGTTATAGCTATGCGATACATTGTTATGGGAGATACGAACGTGACCTGTGCTGGTTTAACATTTCTGCTCATTTCGAGATTCTATTCACGATCGTGCCTTCTCCTGAATACATATCTGTGTTCTTAACTCGAATGGCTCACCTTGTTGGTTCATCTTTGACGTTCAGGAAACATACGAGATAGATCGCCCCGATGAGCATATCAAAGAGGTATTCTTCACATTGGCGAGGCTGGCCCGACTCTGTATCGCAGAAACGCGTGCCTTGATGCATTACCCATACCGACATGACGCCCCAGTGACCCACACATAAAGGAATCAACCTGCAATGGTGTGACATTCGGGTAGAGAGAAGAAGGGCGGAATACGTTAAGCATAGAACGTATGTGAAAATCTGTAAACAATGTAACCCAGCCTGCGTAGGAAGTGATTAAGTTACCATGCAATACTTAGTAAATCTATGCGCTGACATTGCCAAAACAAACTTTCGTAGCAGACGATTCAGTTGAGAGGACATAGATACGTCTGCTTGCTACAAATCACGTCAGCACTAAACTGCACAACCGATCATGCACTTTTTACATTGCCAGTCAAGCTTTGACCGTGACATGTACGCTAAGGTATACGCCCATTAAACAAATGTGTTAGGTAGAGAATATTTGTTTTTCAGATATTATCATTTTGTATATATATATAATATAAATTCGATGTCAGATTGTTCTGGGTTGTCTATTTTACGTTCGATTTCCTTTGATCTTTTCAGTATATTGATGTTATCTTGTTCATCGTCATACCGCAATCTTTTCATCTATGTCCGATGCTACCTTCATCAGTTTCCTGTGATACGGTAAAGTTGACTGGAAAAGCAGTTTAGTCCATAATTTTTTTAACTTTCATACAAACACGATGATGCCTTTGACAGTTTTACAGTTATTGCTCTACAATCTCTGGAAATAAACTTTACTTCTATATATTCGTCGATTTGTCTGAGCCATTTGCTGATCAATACTAACGAGAGCGGTAAGAAAAAGGTGAGACAGAGGCATTACAACTGGAATAGTTTAATTTCAACGAGACAGCAAAAAGCCATCTGTATACCATCATTCCGCCTTTGACGCGACCGCGGTTTATTTGAAAAAAAAAAAAACTTGATAAAACAAAACGCTCGACAGTTCAAATGCTCATCTCCCAAATCTCTTATAACGCTCCCTATATTATATGGTATATATAAACGCCATGCCTACCATTCCATAGGTCTGAGCAGATACGAGTTTGAGCGCCAGAAAATCTTCTATCGACCCGATCTATATCACCCGTAGAGGTGATACGTGCCAGACATATTTGGGTAATCCGCCAACTATATTAGATACCTATAGTTGGACTAGATTGCCAAACCTCCATGGAAGATCTCGATTGATAACGTTTGAGAACACCAACCGAACAAGTTGTCACGCGCTGGCGTCTAAACGATCATTGTTACCACGGAGATTAACATCGTATACGAAACAACAGCAAAAACCGTCTGTACGGCTTATCAGCTGGTTGACTATTCCTTTTTTACCCAATGATCTATGAAATGGAGACCAGGCTAAGCTGGTGGTACCGCTTACGAACGAAATGACCTACTGGTTAATTCTAGCCCACAGAGGCAATGGCAGGATGTCCAGTATATCCCGCATCAGTAGTTTGCCTATTCCTCTTCTGCTTCTGTTTTCTAAGTACGAGCAATAAGCAATTCGCTGTTGAAACGATTAGTACCTCACGAGCTTTCATCTCAGGCCAATTTAAAAGAGGTAATTGTCGCTTTGCAAAAAACGCGAGCATGACTAAGGCAATCATTTGATTGCTAGTGCCCGATTCCCCATAAATGGTACCGCATAATGATGATTTGCTATATGCAATTGTTCCAGCCTCGAAGTTATTCTCTACCTGCTCTAATATATGTGCTAGTGGCCTTAATCATGCGAGTGCCACGCCATCGTAGCGTTCCATAATGTGACTCACCAGAACGTGTACTCCGACGTGAACAACGCGATGCAGATAATCCGTGATCCCACCGTACACAGCCTGGAACGTAGTGAGCCACATTTCCACAAATATATAGAGTAAGTCAAAATGAGAAAAACAACAACAACAAAGCTTTGATAGAGTTCAATCTTTTCTATTTCTTTTACAAAGCTTGAATGACCTATTGAATAGCAAGAGTATTATGAAAAAATAACAAAAAAAAAAAAAAAAAACTAACTATTACTGTTTCAAATCGTGTAACAGACTGTAAGAAAGCATCGTATGAAAGCCTTCCAATGCCTTCGTCTTCTTCACTTCAGCTGGGCCCCAGCTCAACTTTGTGCCATTCCTCGGAACGGCTTTCCTACGAGGCGTATTGCGCCTCGCTAATACAATAGGATGGTTCAGGCATAATTCTGTGAAAGTTTTCCTAAATAAACACATTTGTATAGCATACAATGTTACACTGCACGCGGGGCAACAGCGGGAGAGATAGGGAAGAGAACATTCGTTTTGGGCTGAGTACTGGTCAGAAGGACAAGGCATACTGCACGATGTATGTGTGATGTTGTACTGTAGCAATGGCCAGTGACGATAGCTGTATTACGCTTCGCGGTATCTTATATCTTGTACAGCTTACTTGCTGGTTCAAAGCGGCAGTTTTGTCGTGATTTGGTCGTTTGCCGGCCTTACGTGTCATTATGAAAATCCTCCCTGAGGAGCTCAGGGCTTGGCCTTAGGCCCTTGGTTGTCTAAAAGAGCCGGGGTGGCCATCCAGGTCAAAGTTCACTAGACGGACCAACGCAAAGTGGGGGGAATGAGGAGGGAGAGGGGTAATAGCGACTAAGCGCCTTCAAACATGTTTTCAAAGTTTGCAAAGAGTCGGCTAATTCAACATAGATTTATTTTTTACCAAGCTATTTTCATAATCTTTTATGATTAAGTGGTTGTCGTGTTTGCATGCTTGTTTAGAGATATGCGCATGGGTATCACTGTTTATGTAGAAATCCGTGAAATCTGTAGATAAGACGTGCAGTCTTGGCTTGATTCCGTATGATTTATAATTCTCATATCTTGTTTCTTGTTTGTGCGTGCTTGTGTCCGCATACCTCCAAATAAACTGTAGTATCGCTCCAACCCGACTCATGTTGTACTTGTCTGGCACTGAGCGCCGTAGCGCCCGATGGTAGCTGGATAAAGAGAGCGCGATGCTCACCAATGAACTCATGGCTGAAGCCAGTTGACAGCCCCCTAAAAAAAACATGAAACAGTCATGAATAGCAAGTGGATGGGCATTCGGCTGTTGCACTTACTATAACGGAAAATAAACGACGTACCGTACGTTAACGAACCGAACGAAGAGCTATCGAAATCCTAAATATTAATCCTTTGTGTGACGATGATAATTTTGCGACCCCGCATGTGATGAAATGAACCTCCCGTAAACTAGTCAATAGGTTTCTAAGCTAAAAGCTTTGTTTTTAAACTTTGTTTAAATGAAAGTCATGGTTTACGTATTAGGTTTTAGGATAAGTCCCTTAAATATCTATGCAAATTCATATATTCATACAAGGCGCAGCACTAACAGTATGCTCAAAAGTACTAATAATCAAAAACCATATGTTATAACACTACGCAAACGCTAACGCTCTAAGTACCAAAACAAATATACAATATTCGATTCGTGTCTCAGAGGCTCCAGAGTTCTATTAGAGCAGACGAAACAAGATCGATTGCTCAAGTCGGGTCAATAGAAAGAGACCCAGCGCCCGACAGTACCCAATGGACGACGTTCATTGCCACCGCCCACCAAAATATAACCCCAAATGGTGATTCCGGTGTACATTTTGCTAAGTGGTCTGTAAATCAATTTTGAACGGATGCCGACCAAACGCTTGATAATCGCCGACGGATATTTCTTACTGCTACTGCTACTGCTACTATTATTAGTATTTGTTATCTATTTGCAGCTCTTTCAAAACTGCGCACGCGTTCAACGTTCATTAGACTGTGACCTACCTACCTATCAGCTCATTTGCGATGTGGCCTTTTAAGGAGAATTCCGAGGCCAACAGGAAAATTTGCAGAGTCGCTTGTGGCGCCGACTGGAGGACCGCTTTGAATAGTGAAAGCAACGCAGTATCACGATCCTCATGAATCATTAACAAGTAGTAATCCACCTGAAAGAAATTCCAGAGCCAGAATTTAATGTTTATTATTCGATACACATGTTTGATAGCTCACACACAACTAGCCCATAAATTCACCTATTTAGAGCTATGCAACTTCACCACTCAGCCGTATGCGCATCACTATCTGCTCATTTCTATTCGTTCAGAGGGTTTGATCGAGGGTCGGAGAATCGCTGGCTCCCCACAAAATCAGTGCGCAGGGTTCCGGAACAGTTTCCTTGGGACGCCGTAACGTTGCATAACAATATATTAGCACTGTCAGACTCTTCGCGCGCTTCTAATAGCTGTCAAGCCTAGCCAAGCTAGATTCAGCCACACCGGTACGTTCTTTAGTATTCACCGCCTTAACGTTTTAAACGATTCCCCCACAGAGCTTCTGTATGATTTCGATAATGCATAGTTTTCCACATCATCAAAATGCCTATCAAGATTTTCCAGCCTCTTGGTCTGATGGTTGAAAACGAGTAGTAGTTGATCGCTACTGCTCAAGACAGATGAGCGATTGGAATGAACGTTATCGCTTGGCAGAGAGTATTTCTGGTCCGGAGATTTATAACCAAAATCAATTTTATTTAACGCACGTACTGTGTAGCATATATGATAAAAATATATAGACATATTTCGAATATGCACTATGATACTAATGATATTACGTCTACCTATTACACTGCATACGTAGTACCAAATCTTCGTACTTGAAGATCAGTGGTCGTATCTAACGCAGTTAGATTGCCTTATGTTTTATGTCGTTCTGATAATATCCGGTTGGAGAGTAGATTTCGTTTAGATAAAATTCCGTTATTCTGCCACTTAAAAGTTCCTATAATATTGCCCTGGTCCAACATGTAGTCTGTGTGTAACCCGATGTATTAGATGCTGACCTTTTAGTAGATGCACAAAAACCATAAGATGGCCTTCCTAAGTGTACGTACATGCATACAAAGTTATCAAGTTGTGGTCGCTTTTTTTTGCCGCTGTGCATTATATTGGCTTGCCGATAATATTTCTATTGATAAATAAGAATTCAGAATTTTTTAGTACCTAGTTATAATACAGCCGAAGATTTTAGCTAATACTTTTACAACCAACTCACATCTAACAGCTTCCAGATAAAAGACATCCTCGATACCACCTATTTGAGAGCTCATCGCGATTCCACAACGAGCAGGCGTATTTTAGATGACTGATGTATAAATAAGAGCACCTGTGTGGCATTGGGCACATCTGTCATCGTTCGCTGTTTCTGTCAATCGGGGGCGAATGTTGTATTTCGAAAAACAGCATTTAGCCAGCCTTCCCACTCAGCTACTGAAAAGCTACGCCTCTAAAAGCCGATTATCTCGCCTAATCACGCCGTGGCACTGGCAGCGTCTATAGATATGTTGTATACCGGTGGGGCTTCGAGCGCAATGCAGTTCTGCTATTGTTACTATCGAACCTTTCGAACGTCTGATTATTATTCTGATCGGCATACAGATCCCTAGGATAGTCGCCGACCACTGCTTTCGCCTCTGTTCCCGTATTTTTCTAGAATGAACCAGTCTGTTGTGTCGAGTTCCAGACCTCCCATTTATCCTGGTCCATGTCATGAAATGCGATGACCTGGATAACGTCCCAACGGTATCCTGTTTTCGGAGGCAACTCAGTTTGAGTGGCAAAATGGATCGTTCATTCAGAATTGCTTGCGAAGAAACCAGCTGGAAGTATTGTGAACGCCGAAGTAAATATCAGCCGACATATTGAAGTAGCAGCAACTGTCACCTTACCGCGTCATGAGCGTTTCGAAAGCGATACCGCGACTGAGGTGCGATGTATAGAAATATAATTAAGGCTCATCTCTAGGCAAGCCACAGAGGTAATATATTCTCAAAATGAAACAAATGGGGCTCGGATATAGCGACGAGAAAAACACGGAAAACCAAAGATGTAACAACATACGTTTTTCGAAGAAAAATACGAAAATGTTCTATCGACCTTGAATGTTGTTAACATAAAATATCTGCATCGAAAAATATGTGTATCACATATGAAACTGTTACCTGAGCTTTTTCTAATCTGTTTAATTTACAAGGTAAGATTCTTCATTAGTTCACCCTTGTCAGTGTCGCCTATATAGAATATATACATATTCACTATAAAAAAATATTATGATCAATTATATTTTTTAATTAAGGGAGCCATCACATCCCAACCCCATCATATATACAATTAAAAAGCGGCGCCGTCAGTTTGTTTCCTGCCAAATTTATTGGTGACTTTCACCTTTACGTACAGATGGACCGACAGCTAAGTAATGCACAGTGGCGCCACGCAGCCTCTCATAAAAATATCAGCGCTTTTGCCCATCCAAGTTGGCATTGAGCCCAGCACAAATCATATATGCATGCAGGACTATCGCCTAGAAAGTTATTTAAGTCCTTTCTGCTCACACCGCACTATTGGTCAGGCTCAGGATGAGCCCTATACCTAAGTTTCACTAGCAGTAAGATTCAACAAGCTGAGCTAGATGTCGTAGTGGTCCCAATAGTCTCGATGTAGTCGACGACCAGCATTGCTTTGCTTTCGTGGTAATAAGGTGGTTGTTTCGAGCATCAGCTGTACTCCTCGACTTCCTTCCTGCGCTTCTTCTAGGCCTTTTCCATGCCGACCATTCACTTTTATCGACTAAACGGGCTGCTCCATAGGGGTACGTGCGCACATATACAGACGCCCTTTCTCCGTGACCTGGTGCGTCCTGGTCCGTACGCATAACCTTACGCGGTGAATGATAGCTCAATGAGAGAGGGGTATCGAAGATGCTAAAAAGAGGCGACGCCAATTCGGTTTACCGTCATTCGCTACAGTGAGTTGGGTTGACCGTTGAAGCCGAAAAAGGGTTAAGTACCGGTTATAGTATGTAACCTTAGGTTTACTACGCAACGTCGTGTGTATATATATGTACGTGTTTCTAAGTGAGGTATATAGCGAGGCCAAGAAGCGTCTATGTCGAGCCGTTTTCTGAGTTTGACGGCGGACGCGCGACACTCGAGAAAGCTGTTTGCTTAAACGGCGTTTGAAGATAAGCGGCCTTTTTGCGAGTCTTCGGTTGATCGATAGTCAGCGGCGACGACGGCCTCGAAGCCGAGCGGCCTCCGAAGTAAAAAGTAACTTCGTTAAAAGTGGTGCGCGCCTGTTTGAATATAATTGCATTAAGGGACTGGCCCGCGGCGGCACCGGCTGCTACTGCTAGCAGATGGAACGAGAGTAACACGTCGGTGTTGAGGGGCAGGTGGGTGCGCGACGAAGGAGAGCGGGACAACCATGTAATTGACGCAGTGTGGCTTTCCAGATCTCTAGACTTCTCGCAGTCAGATCTTGCTGAGACCGAATAGCCTGAGACTTTAAAGCAGGACGGTAGAGGAGGGGCAACCGGCCGATCAACCGAGAGAGAGGATTTGGGAGAATAAGTTACACCGTTTGATACTGTTAGAACGACGGCAGAGGATATTGGAAACTAAGTATATAAGCCCCCTTGCTTGGGGCACCGTCTGCCAGTTGCCCTTTTCGAACAGTCAGAACTATAGTTAGTCGTAGGGGAAACTATGGAAAGAGAGGCAGCTTCTTGGCCTCTAGCAAGATGTGAGCGGCTCAAGAGGTGTATGGCTTGTGCAAGCGATTCACGTCAAGGGTGGAGCTCAAGTGCGCCTGTAAGCGATGGGCTGGAAGGTTGGCTAGCTGTCTGAGCGTTTGCTTCATTGCTCATAACAACAACGAACTTGGTCGGGAAATCAATTTGTACAGAAGAGTATAGCGATAAGCTTGAAGCTCTCTTTCAAAGCCTACCTACACCGATAGTTGGCTTGTAAACTTAAGATCGTTTGAAATGTCTTACACTGACAAGACCTGCATTGAACGAGATATCGTCTTTTCATAGGTCTTGCCGCGTGTGTATATCAACATAAGTAGGTATATATGTAAATACGAGTCAATAGTGAACCTTCGATACTCAATGTGAACCTATATGTGTGCATACCCGTGCGTGCCTGCAGGGATCTCTCTGTATGTGAACGAATGCAATTAAGGAAACGCATCTCTACCCTTTTCAAACGCCACACTCAAATAGGAGATAACGGTATCTATTACCCACAAGACCTTGGCTAAAGGGCTAGAAGTGAAACGCGAATGACTCAAGAGCTCTCCAAAGAGCGTTGTGTAACTACATTGTATTGCTTGCGTCGCGAAGTTGATCAGCCATGAATTTAATGAGCGACTCACTGCTGAGAAACAACGGTTTTGTCAGCGCCAGGGTTCAAAGTGGAAAGCGGAATCGCCTTCTACGATAGAAATAGCAGACCTTGGAACATCGTGGGATCTGGCTGTTTCGAATTAGGATGTGTCCTGTGCTCTTCTGTCTCATGAATGTGCAATCGATGGCAAGGAGTCCTTTCGTCTGGTGTTCCCGCGTAAAAGCAAGAAACAGTAATAAACGGGATATTAATCTCATCATTCGCTGCGGTGCTAGTTTTCGTTCATGTTAATTGACCTGGCATGTCCAGCCCCCAGCATCACTGCTCCTAGCTTAACCTTCCTATTTGCTCTCGATAGTTGCAAGACCTCTTCAGGCAAAAATAAGTCAAAAGACGACTGGTCAGGTGTAGACCTCGTTATCTGAAAAGCTATACTTGAGTTTGCGATTTACTCATTACTGACTAACGAGCTCACACAACTTATGAATTTATAAAGTGTTTAAAACTTGATTGTGAAAAATATAATACGGACACTGCTGCGCACATTTTTCCATTTAATGGATAACTAATGGAAAGTTCCTTTTCTGTACTTCACCGTATAGCGATGACACACCGGCGGTGAAAACCGAGGATAAGTTTCCTTTAGCAGCTCCTCATATATTACCCATCAAAAGAAATCAGCCTTAACTAAGTTAATAAACGACTAAGACCGGGTTTTCGACTGGATCAAAAATTTCTCTATGTACTCAGCGAGCTCTCGGT